AAATGTGGTCCCGTTGAATTTACTATAAGGTGGGTCCACAACTGGTTGAAAGTTCGTGCTCACAGAGTAGGTATCAATGGTTTGCTATCAAATTAGAAGGGTGTATCTAGTGGGGTCCTGCAGGGGTCATTCCTGGATCCGATACTATTCAATATTTTCATTAATAACTTGGATAATGGAATGGAAAGTATGCTTATAAAATCTGCAGATGACACCAAACTGGGAGGAATAGCAAACACTTTGGAGGACAGGTTTAAAATTCAAAATTGGTCTGAATCCAACAAGATGAAATTCAATGAAGACAAGTGCACAAGGTTTAAATTAATGCACAACTACACAATGGGGAATAACTGGCTCGGAGGCAGTACTGCTGAAAAGGATCTGGGGGTTACAATGGACCACAAACTAAATAGGAGTCATCAATGTGATGCAGCTGCAAAAAGGCTAATATGATTCTGGGGGGTTTTAATAGGAGTGTCGTATGTAAGACACAGGATGGAATTGTTCAGCTCTACTTGGCACTGGTGAGGTCCTAGCTGGAGTACTGTGTCCAGTTCTGGGCACTACAATTTGGGAAGGATGTGGACAAACTGGAAAGAGTCCAGAGGAGAGCAACAAAAATGATCAAAGGTTTAGAAAACCTGATCAATGAGGAAAGGTTGAAAAACGTGGGCGTGTTGAGGCTTGAGAAAAGAAGACCGAGGAGTGAGCTGATAACAGTCTACCAACATCTTAAGAGCTATTACAAAGAGGACCATGATCAATTGCTCTCCATGTCCACTGAAGGTAGGACAAGAAGTAACGGGCTTAATCTGTGGCAAGGGACACTTAGAAAGCTTTTCCTAGTATTTAACCTACCTCTTAGGGTAGGTCTACACTACCCGGTAGTTCGGCGGCAAGCAAATCGAACTTCTGGGTTCGACTTATCGCGTCTTGTCTGGACGAGATAAGTCGAACCCGGAAGTGCTCGCCGTCGACTGCGGTACTCCAGCTCGGCGAGAGGAGTACCGCGAAGTCGACGGGGGAGCCTGCCTGCCATGTCTGGACCGAGGTAAGTTCGAACTAAGGTACTTCGAACTTCAGCAACGTTATTCACGTAGCTGAAATTGCGTACCTTAGTTCGAATTGGGGGGTTAGTGTAGACCTGCCCTAAGGGTAGTTAAGCTCTGGAACAGGCTTCCAAGAGAGGTTGTGTAATCCCCGTCATTGGAGGGTTTTAAGAACAGGCTGAACAAACACGTGTCAGGGAGGATCTAGGTTTACTTGGTCCTGCCACAGTGCAGAGGGCTGGACTTGATGACCTCTCAAGGTCCCTTCCAGCCCTACATTTCTAGGATTCTATCATGCAGTTTGCAGCAGAGACGAGGCCATAGTAGCAAAAACAACCCAACTGGTCTCAACTGTCCTGGTGGAATCTGTGTCAAAAGATGATCCTCAGTTCTTGATCACAAGAGCCGTGGGAAAGGGGAATGAGATGGTCTTTCAGGCTCCAATCAAACCGCAAAGCAAAAAGGGGTGTATTTTAATGCATCACATTTCCATACTCAGGAAACCTGTCTCTTAAAATGCACCCCTTTTTCCTTTGGGGTTTGATTTGAGCCTGAGACACCAGCTCATTCCCCCTTTCCCACACAGGAAACTTAACAAAATGATCCTTTAGCCCAGTTAGTGAAAGATCAGCCAGTGACTGTGCCCACGAGGAATGTGTAAAGCCCCCCCCCGACCCTCCCATGCTTTTGTTGCCATCCACTTCCCTAAATACACAATTAAATTCTCTTAATATCGGTTTTGTTGCAAAACATGGTGAAGAATTTCCGTGCTAAGGCAAGACCTCAGCCACTTCCTCATGCAGCTTCAGTGTCGATAGGAGAGAGCTCAGAGAGACGACTCTTCCTAAAAATCACTTTCACGTTCCATACGATACTCCAGCAATGCCCCTTCTGTGGGCTTGAAGTCAGGCATGGAGCTGAGATTCCTGCTGCTGCTGCTCTGCATCTCAGGTAAGAGGAAGAGTGATGTGATACTTGGGGGGTTACATGGACATTCCATGTCAGGGGCAGGCGGGATCTGGGGCTCTATTTTCCCTGCTTGGTTTGTCAAATATGCTGTGAAATGTGCGAGAAACAGCACAATAAGGAGCGTGAGGATCCCTGCCAGACCAATACCTCAAGTGAAGTAAATCGACACTAGAGCTCTACTGAAGTCAATGGGGCTACACCAATTTACACCAGATACTGGAAACTCCAGGTTCAATGGGTAAAGATTGTTGAGCACCCACTACACACCACACAAATGTATCCCTACAAAAATACGGGTGGCAAGCTCTATTTTATTATTTTGCAATTTTCAGAGTGACATTCTGGGCCAGATAATCAGATGGCATCATCTGCCATCACAAATTGGCATCATTTAAAGTTAATGGATTGATGCCGATTTACAGCAGCTGAACACCTGGCCCATGGGTGTCCAGTTCCCATTACAAGCCAATTATTGATGTGACAGATCAAGGCCTCTAAAATGTCACTAAAATGACATTAAAATGTCTCCTTGGATTCAATTCTGATAAAATGTTTTTGTGGGCCTGTGATGACTTATTTGCATAGACTCTAGGGTGCGCAGGGCACTTTCCTATTAGTTAGGTACAAGAGGAGCCTCAAAAAGATGTGAAGGAAATTCCCCCTATCAAAACAAACATACAGGAAGTGGGAATTCCTTTGGGAGGCATCAGAGAAGCCCAAATTTGCAATACAAAACTGGCTTAATTCCAGTGGCAGCAGCTCTACTTCAAAGCACCCCTCAGGCCGAGCTCTATAGCAAATGTTGTTATTGTGTAAGTGTGACTGCATCTCTCAACTCGACCCTCTCCACCTTTCTTGTATCACTTGTCTTCTTAAGCCCCTGCTAAGCTCACTGCAGGATAAGACTATAAACTGTTCCTATGTGTTTGTACAGCCCCTAGCACAATCAAGCCTTGATCCTTGATTTTTGGATCTTTTCTACATTTTCAAATATATCGATTTCAATTACAACGCAGAATACAAAGTGTACAGTGCTCTGTAACAAACAAAAAAAATCTACATTTGTAAGTTACACTTTCACGATAAAGAGATTGCACTACAGTACTTGGTGAGGTGAACTGAAAAATACTATTGCTTTTGTTTATCATTTTTACAGTGCAAATATTTGTAATAAAAAATAATATAAAGTGAACACTATATACTTTGTATTCTGTGTTGTAATTGAAATCAATATATTTGAAAATGTAGAAAAACATCCAATATTTTTAAATAAATTTCAATTGGTATTCTATTGATTAACAGTGTGATTAAAACTGCGATCAATCACGATTGATTCTTTTGAGTTAATGGCGATTAATCAACAGCCCTAATTGTATGTTCTTTGAGGCAGGGACTGTGTGACAGGATGGAATGACCATGAAATACCTAAGGACTGTCCAACGGGGGCCAGCCACCTCCTGAGCACCCCCTTATGGCCAAAGGTTGCTGTACAGGGGCCCAGGCTCTTCCCAACTCTTCCTAGCTCTTGGGCTCAGGGTCTTCCCTGCAGAAGCCTTTCTCGCTCCACTCCCTGCCATCTCTCTACAACTTCCTGATCATCCCCTCTCTGCAGTGTCCTGCTGCCCTTTATAGGAGAATCAGCTTCTTCGCACCCAGCTGGTTCTACTACTTAAACCCCACATTCCGCCCCTTCCCCCCACCCCAGGTGTGGCAGCAGGCAGGGCTAATTGGACAGGCTGGCCAACTCCAGGCCTCTGGCCCTTAAAGGATCAGACCACCCCATTACAGGCTGCTTGTCACGTGATTCAGCAGGGTTTAAGGGGGGAGTGTCCTTTTACAAGGGCAGAGGGGAAGTTCTCTGGGTCTTGCAGCCTGTTTGCCAGAGGGGGATAGCTTTTGTTTTGTGTTATCTTGTGAGGTTTTTTAATAAACTATGTCCTAAGGAAAGGGTCTGAAAAGAGACTTGAGTGTGGCACCCAATTCTTCCTGGGCAGTTGCAGAGTGCCTAGTACAATTCGGCCCCATTCTTGCATGGCCTCTCTGCATTACTGCAATAAATAGGATTCATAAGGATACGTGTAATAAAGGGATGAGCAGAAACTTTCCGGCTAGTTTCATTTTTCTTCAGTTGTGGAGCAGTCAGCTTCACCCAGCTAGAGATATGTCCTAAATTATTTGAAATTAAAATAGTGGTTTACCCCAATGTGACACTGGAAAGGTCAGATGTTAGACGGGAGAGCAAAGTTCCTAAAGTCACAGAAATGAGAGATTGAAAAGATCTACTGGAACATCCAAACCATCTCTGTGTTAGTGCAGAGAACTGCCCAGCTCAAAGATCTGTGCTCAACTGGTTTATTGCCAGCTACCCACATGTAAATAGGCAGAGATGACACAGGGATTTTAAACAACCAGAGAAACTGAAATCTGCAAATAAACAAAGAACATGGGAATATACACTAAGAAAACGTACTGTGTGCAGGGGACACATGCAGGAGATATTCTAGGATATGTTGCTATCTTTGAACGTGCTCCAGGCAGGCGGTAGGAGCAGGGCCGGATTAACTCTCCTGTGGGCCTGGGGCTATTAGATTTTGTGGGGCCCCTGTATACAAGTCTTTTTGCTAATTTAAAACAAAATTATCACAATTATGGCATCGAGGCTATTAACGCTATACTCAACTTGCCTTTTAATTAACATAAAGTCATTCTGTGGTTACATTTCAGTCTTAAAACATGTATAATACAGTGAATTAATTCAAAATAGCCTACTTCTTACCTTAGAACAGCTGTTATATTAGATTCTTTCTGGGAGGGAGTTTGGTGCAGGAGGGAATTATGACCTGGGGCAGGAGGATGGGGTGCAGGAGGGTGTGCAAGATGTAGGCTCTGGCCAGGAGGTGCTAATCACAGCAGCTCCCGGCTGGCGGCACAGCAGGGCTCAGGCAGGCTGCCTGTCTGCCTGCCATAACCCCACACTCCCGGAAGCGACCAGCTGCTGGCACATTTCTGCACACCCCTGGGGGGAGGAGGACAGTGTGTCTCCATGAACTGCCCGTGCCCACCCCTAAAGCCCCTGTGTTAATCCAGCCCTTGATAGGAGAATGATTTGTAATTGCTGCTTTTACTGATTCATCTCCGTTCTTCCCACCTCCAGTTCTTGGGCTGTGTTTAGTCCAAGCACTTGAGTGCAGGACACAGAGGGGGCAGCAGGCACCCTTGCTCCATCCCAACTCTTACTGAGCAGGTCTGGTGTTTTCCAGGATTCCAGGCACAACTCTATGACACCATGGAGAGCAGAGTGGAGGGGCAGAGGCTCGTTGTTGAGTGTCGCTACAGATTCCCGGATTACAGTGCAACACAGAAAACCTGGTGCCAGCTGAGAGGTGAGATATGCTCTCCCTTAGTTAGCACCTCTTACACATCATATGGATACCAAGCCAAGGTTACCTCTAGAAGAGTCACGATAGAGGATGACACCCGCAAGGGGATTGTAACCATCACCATGGAGAAGCTGCAGGTGCAGGACTCCGGAGTGTACTGGTGTGCGCTCTATTACCCACCCAATACACTGTATCAGCTAAAGACAATTAAACTGGATGTTTCCATGGGTAAGTTAATTTCCTTTCAGGAGAACTGTCTTTTCCACTGACTATAATCCCAATCCTCCCCTCACTTTATCATCTCTCCCCTGCCTGTATCGATTCCTCCTGCCTGCCCCCAGAATTTGTCACCCTCCACAAACCCTTGTCTCCTCTCTCCTGTCTCACACTGGAAACTGCTCTGAATCATCAGCTAACCTAGCAATTCAGCCAACAGACTGTTCATGCTTCCTG